GTCGGGGGAGGCGTGGGAGGGGCTGGTGCGGCTGAGGGCTGAGTTCATGCAGACGGCCACGGCCACGGGGCGGCTGTCCATGGAGGAGCCCAGCCTGCAGACCATCCCCAAGCCGGCGGCCTTCCAGCGGCTCGCGTCCCTGGGGACCCAGGCCGCGCCCGGGGCCGGCGGTGGGGGCGGCGGCGCGCCGGGGCAGGTGACTGAGGTGTGCAACATCCGGGCGGCGTTCGTGGTGGCCCCGGGGCGCGTCATGGTGTCTGCGGATTACGCGCAGGTCGAGTTTCGCCTCATGGCGCACTTCTCTGGTGAGTGGAGGGGGCGCAGTGGTGGTCACTCCACTCGCCCCGTGCGGGTTGGCCTTGCACTTTGCTGGATGATGTGCACGACGCGCACACTGACCGCGGGAATTGGCTGCCTCTCTTTGGTGTTGGTGGCAAGATTTGACTGCGGGGCCAAGGCAATGCTCAACGCCGCTGCGCGTTCTTGTTCACAAGTCGAAACTGCCGCCACCGTCCCTCTCAGGCGACCCTGCGCTCCTCGCCTGCTTTGCGGCCGGCCGCGATCCCTTCATCCAGCTGGCCTCCAACTGGCTGAAAATGGCGCCGGCGGAGGTGAGCCCCACCCCCACTCCTTCCCCCCGGTCTCTGGAATGCTGCCGTGTTGCCGTCGCCAACGCCCTCGCAGCTCTGCTGCGCGCTAACAGTAGATGCTGAATGCCCTGCGCCCTTGCACGCACACATGCGCTCGTGCAGGCGCACGCACACACACGCACACACGCGTAAGCACATCGCATTCACACACACACAAATGTGCATACCGCCCCGCTCCCCCTGTCTCAGGTCACCCCTGAGCACCGCAACCAGGCCAAGCGGCTGGCCTACGGCGTCCTCTATGGCATGGGACCCCACACCCTCGCGCCCCTCCTGGGGATCACCGGCGACGCCGCCGAGCAGCTGCGCCGCAGCTTCCTGGACTCCATGCCCGTGCTCAGGGACTGGCTGGAGGGCGTGCGCAAGGGGCTGACGGCCGCCAACATTGATGTGCAGGTGCAGGAGGGGGTGGCGGGGCACGTGCACACGGTGTTTTGCGCCAGGGAGTCGCTGCCTGGATCAGCGCGCGCCATACCGCGCTGCTCCTTGTCGTCCTGATCTCTTCATCAGCTGTGCTGCTTGTGTTGCCGGGATGAGACGGGTCTCAAAAGGCCCCTGCAGCCGCCAGCTCTGCGGGATCGTGGGCATCCACAAGACATCACTCGCGGGCTGCCACGTTGTCGCGCACATCTGACCCGCTTTTGCCGTTTGTGTTTCCACTGGACACGCGCTGTCGGTCCTCCAGATGCTGTCGGGCCGCAAGCGCTACTTCTTCAAGCTGCAGGATCCCAACCTCCGGCCGGGGCTGCGCGGCCACATTGAGCGCGCCGGCGTCAACAGCATCTGCCAGGTGGGGGCGGGGGCCAGGGTGCGGCCTGCAGGTTTGGGCTGCCACGCCCATTTCGTCGTGTCCTCTGCAGTCTCTCACCTCTTTACCCCTCTGCAGTATCGCTGGCCCACACGTCAACACGCGCACACACACACACACACACACACACACACACACACACACACACACACACACACACACACACACA